ATTTGTGTGAACCAATCACATTGAGGGCAGAAGAGCTACTTACATGTACATGTGCATTCATAAACATTGCACATGTAGGCCTACATGTACATGTACATTGAGAAATCAAGAAATGAAACCAATGGATCATACATGAAGGCCTACATGGCCTGCACATGCAGGTTACATGTACCGGTAATTGTTGGACCTGTGCCAAATGAATATCAGGCTACCTAAGAGAGCTGTGCAGTTTTGCACTTGGCCCACTTCCAGTACTGGTATCAGTATTGTAGTGCTCTTTCCATCCCCTGCCAGTCATTGGGTGAAAGTTGAAATGTTCACCTAGAGGGTAACCCATAGCATTCCTGCCATATTACTCCCAAAACAAACCCTGTGGAGGATGAATGGGAAAAAGACTCCAGTGCAAGGTCAATCATTGACAAGACCCAAGATATACTACCACTCTGATAGTCTTTATCACCAAGGCTGAACCCATGCATTTAACCACTGCAACATCTGGTATGATTGGTACTGGACATGCTGATGGAAGCCCAGTGGAAAAAACCAAGTGGGTCTGCAGTGGGATATTAATTCTAATCCTGCTGAGTCCAGCATATCCCAGTAGTGGATCCATTCCAGCAGTGGGTAAATTTTTTTTTTTAGGGGGGAGGTGGTTCTGTAGGTCAGAAAAGTGAAGGCTAATTGCATTTTTTGGGCTGTCAAATGTTCCTGTGGTTAATAAGCCATGATTTGCAGTGTTAGTTAACCATCTTTTATCATTGGATGTTGTTGGATTGTTCAGGGGGTGGGGTGGGAGGGGATGGGGGGTGAAAGTGTGCATTGTCAAATTACGAAGGAATCGTCGAGTCCTAAACGGCATATTGGCCCCCCTTCAGCAATTAAACAAAAGGCGCAACTGTCTGACAGTTCTCATTTCAAATATGTCTACCGTGCCAGTTTTCTGGGTCTTGATCATCCAAACTGGAATTTGTATCCAGGTCAAAGGTAAAGGTACATGTAACAGTAGTTGGAATTGTCATAATATAAATACGGCACGTTGCTAAAGATGCTTTTGAGTTTTCTTATTATTTCCGATTTGAGTGGACAGTTACCTGTACATGTAGGCCCTATTTAGTTAATGTGAAACAGGATTATTGATGCAAACGGGGATAATTTATTGTGCGTCTGATCTTGTAATACAAATAATAGCCCAGTATTTAAATAATTAGAAACAGGTTCCAGCTCTTGTACAAGCATTTGCTTCTTACCTGGAATCCTCATTATCCTGATCTTAAATTCACGTGAATATATTTTATTTAAAGATAAAAATAACAAAGCAAAACTAAAAGTGTGTCAACTTACTGACACATGAGAAGGCTTCTTCCTGTACCTGTAATCAACAGCATGTACATGTACATGGATCTTGTACCGGTATTGTACACGTACATGCATGTTTGACCGTAGTGTAACAGCACTGTCATTTTAAATGGATCGTACACAGTTATTATTGGAAAGGCTTGGCATTCGTCAGCCTACCTTTACATGTACATTGTACATCGATAATTCCAGAAATTAGGGGTCCATTTTTTCATGCCCCTGTCACATCTGACGCATGATTTTGTAAGTTCAGAACATTTTCTTATTTCCAAGAGTGATGAATTAAACAAAATAGTATTAGTTCGAAATCAATTCTGGTGATATTTCCATGTCAAATAACAAACATGACAAAGGACAGATGTACCGGTAACAGGGACACAAAAATGTCACACTTTTGGACCCCCTAATTTCTGGAATTACCCACATGGTACCGGTACTTACTAAATGCACGGTGTACCCCGGTACATGTGTGCAGTGCCACTGGTGGATATGGTACATGTAGATGGGTAAAATCAATAGTTAGGCTTGGGTGGGAAGGTTGTAAAATGGCATGTCAAAGGGAGAGAGAATGCATGCAGGTTGCTTTTGTTGGGTGCTGTAAAATTTATTGCTGTTAAAGTGTACACAGTAGCACCATGATTGGACCTGCTTAATCCCAGTGTTGAATGCTGCTCCCAGTACTTTACTGCAGGATTGTACCTTTATAGTACCAGGACACTAATATTACACCTGTATGTTTGTCTACATGTATACAGTGTAAGGAGGTAAGGAAGGAAAGTTAGAGTTAGTGGACTGGTCAAACATTTTATTGCAGCAATTATTCCAACAAATGGCTTGATATTTTGTAGGCCTTCACTGCATGTGGGTTGTCAGTGTGTTGTTCCGTAGTTAATGGAATCTCCAGACTGGTCCAACAGAATATGAGCAGACGTGCAAGTCATTTCCTGGTGGCATGGTTCCTCATAATGTGAATGTAGCCCAATCTTCTACAGATGCTGTGTGGATAAATGGATAAATGGCTGTCATTTTTGAAAACTACATTAGCAATGCAGGCATTAATTAATGGCCTCATAGTTAATCAGACTGTTATCAAAGTCAACACAGATTTTCCAGCGTACTCTAGCATGTACCCGTATGCTTAAAGCAAAGTAATGGTGGTTCAGAGCACTTCAAGAAACATTTTCAAGATAAATTAAATTTTGTTAGGAATTTACCTGTACAGTACTTGTAGGTACACTGTACCGGTATTTGAAAATCAAAAGCCATGTTTTTTCTTGGCATGGCATTTTGCTCCCGTTGTGTTCTGTACAGAAGGAATCAAGCCTGTGATTTTTAACACTTGCGATGGTGTTGGGGTAGTGAATATGAGCCTCAAAATGACAGTTCAGATACTTGCTGCCACTTTGCCAAGATGCTTGTTTGAGCGTAGTTTATTCGGCTTTGCTCATCTCCGCCTTGAGCAGAAGAACCCCCTCGTCCATTCGAAAGAGCCATGCTGATTAGGACAGTTTGTTTTGTTGAAAGCAAGGTGCACGCAACGCGTGCATTTTAATAGTCGTTCATGAACTAGTGAAGTGAAGTTCCTACCAAAGGAGCCTCTGTTGCTAAGAAAATCGCGCCCTCTCTTGGTTCAGCTCCGGCCCCATTACTTACACCCTTCAAACCACTTCTCGTAATATGTTGACGCGTTCACCCAGAGCTGTATGTAGAGAGTATTGCCAACTTGAGACTTGGAACCAACATGGCTGTTTGTTATGTGTGCAGTACAGCCTGAAGCTATTGTGTGCTAATTGTCCATGTGCACTTATGCATAATGCGCCATTTTGGTTCCAAATATTAAGACACTCATGTTGTCTATAAGCAGCTCTGTGTTAACTCGGCAAAGATTTTTTTCCTGAAAGGAACTCATAAATTGGTGCATAAGACACTCAACAATTTGTTTTAATCTTTTTGTCTCAGAATAAAGGGGAGAGCTACCGCGTTGCGGTGCAAACCGAAGTTCCTGATGATGGCAGGAAGGCGGATGGCACCCCGCATCCCCACAAGAAACCCAAGAAGGGAAAGAAGCACAAGAAGAAAGATCTGGATGAGCTGAAGAAGGAATTGGAAATGGTGAGAGGCTAGGAGGCAAGGGACAGGGGAGGAGTTGGAGTGGGTAGGAAGCTGGGGATATATGGGAGGGGTTGGAAGCTGGTGATTGGTAAGGGTCGAAATGAACTGGAAGCAGAACTCTGTTAGGAGGTGCGGTACAGTGTCCATTTTACCACAGCCAGCTGAAAGCTATCACATTTCTTTTTTCATCAGGATGAGCACAAGATTTCCGTTGATGAACTGTTTGCCAGGCTTGGTACACATCCGGATACCGTAAGTGCCCCACCATCACTGATAAAGAATTGAATTTAATTCATGGGTCATTCTATGAGGTTGGGGCACAGTTTGAAATTATGTCAATTTTTACGTGGGTTCCGTAAATATGAACAGCTATTTCCCTGCGTGTGGATTCCAAATTGACACTGTTATACATCTTGCAAGGCTGAATACAGAGGTGTGTGTTATTTTTCCAGAGTAAATGACCTACTCTAAAGGTCATGACAGGTGGTAACAGTTACCGATGTAACAAGGATGCCGTCACAAATTGTGCCCCAACCTCATAGAATGACCCTCGTACTCTTTCCTGTCCCATGAGATTGTTTTGGAAAAGTGTTCAATATCAAGAACAAAAAAAAAAAAAGCATCAGTTTTGTACAAACAATCACGTTCATTGTTACCAGCCTAAACTGTGGACTTGCAGATGCTGTTTTAGCATGCTGTAGCACAGTATAATAATTCAATCCACCCGTCCAGTGTCTTGTAGGTCAAGGGGTCATTGACTTTTAGGGTTGATAGATTTTTACTGTTGTGATTGACGCAGGGTTTGACGAAAGCTCGCGCAGCGGAAATCTTGGCTCGGGATGGGCCCAATTCCCTCACCCCACCCAAGACCACTCCGGAGTGGATCAAATTCTGCAAGCAGATGTTTGGTGGCTTTGCCACACTACTGTGGACTGGTTCGCTCATGTGCTTCATTGCATATGGAGTTGAGGCGGCAGTCTACGACGAACCCAACAAGGACTATGTGAGTAGTTTGGGGTTTACCCTCATGAGAATCTTGCATCTGGCCGGAGTGCTGTGTTGGTTGAAGTAAACCCCTTTAAATTCCCACAAGGATGATTTCTTCTGTGACAATGTTTCTCTTGGTGGTCTTTAGCGGTCAAGTAAAATTGCACTTGTTAACAGCATGGTGGTCCGAAGCAGGTTTCATCAGTGTTCCCAGTCCCTTGTGCTAGCCAGGGAATTTGAGAAAAAAGTGCCTCAGTCTGGGAAAAGTGGGAGAATGAATTTGATTGGCCTGGAAGGGGAGAGTGGTCAGTCTGATATTTTATCTCACGTCCAAACCAATGGCAAAAGTTAAAGTTTCACAGGGGTGTGAAATATCTGCTTTTTACCGGAATTCCACTTTTTATTTCTGAGTATGCCAAATTTCATCTTCTGAGTTTCGCCACTGACGGGCCAGAATAACTCCTAGGGTCTGCTTTTTTGACGTCACAGTCCTGTTTTTTTATGCCGTGGCTGTAAATACTGTGGTCCATTGTCTGTACAAAAGTAAAGAATTATTCACAAAGTTTTAAAAAATCCCACACAGCTATCAGAATACCAGATAATAATACATGTTCTACTAAGGGGCCACTCAAAAGTTTCAGTGGTTTGAAAGTTTAGTTTTTGAAATGGTGGGTGGCTCAAGAAAAATTATTGAAAATCAAACTTCACTTTTCATGCGAAAAAAGGAAAGAAATTGTTTTTTTTTTTGCTCGCGTGAACTACGTGTACCGCGCCAGTTTTCTATAAGTGCCATCTTTTTCAGCTTTGTTCCGAGTTAGGGATAGAGTGACTTGTGTACATCTATCATGTACGGTGTGAAACTCCGTGGGTGTAGGTTGTTCTCTGTTAGACTTGTTGGCTGCATCTGAATCTGTTGTCTAGAGCTAGGTCTAGGTCTCCACTCCATTGGAAATTTTTTTGGGGGGGGGTCTGGGGTCACATTATCTTTAATTTTTTAATCATTGCTTTTTTTTATGGAGAAGCGCAGAAAATAAACTTTGCAGAATTTTGAAAAATCACAACTTATGAATGGCCCCCCAAATACAGGTACTTAGGACTTGTCTCAAAATTTGCCCGGGACAAGTTGCGGATATTGTTGAGGGTTAAGTTGCGGGACTCTTAACCATCTTGTCCGAAATCTTCCCGCAATGAAGCAATGGGTTTGTTTACACAATGTCCCCCTTTTGGGGTTTTGAGTAAAGACACTGTGCGTCTACTGTCTGGCAGTAGCAATTGTAATAGAACAACTTATATGGGGCAACCTGTTGTGGGCACTGAGGCTAAATATAAACAGGTATTCACTCGTCCAGGACAAATGCAACGCTTCTTGTGGGTGAAGTCAATGTTGCCACCCGCAACTTGGCCTGGACGAGTTTTGAGATGGCTCCTAACAGAAAATTCAACCCTATTTAAAATTAATGAAATAAATAACCATTTTAAATAAATTGGAGATAAATTAAAAAGACCAACCAATACTTGACGTTTCTGCAAAATGAAAGTGGTCTATTAATGTCTTTCTGTTCTGTCCTTGCAGTTGTACCTGGGAATAGTGTTAGCAGCCGTGGTCATCATCACAGGCTGCTTCTCCTACTATCAGGAAGCCAAGAGCTCTAGGATCATGGAAAGTTTTAAACACATGGTACCCCAGGTGAGTGTCAAAAAGCCATCTGGATCATTGTATGAAAAGTGTGACATTTTTTGTTTCATGATTACAGGTGACTTGAGTAATTTGACATGAGGTGTAAATGGTACTTACGGTACATTTACGAGTCTATTCAGTCTCTACGGACTGCTTTCCTTCATTTCCTGCATGTGTGTAAACAGCGACCAACAAAAATATGACTACCTTGTCCACGCGCCCGGTGGCCCGGGCTAGGCTACGAGGAGGCACGGTGCGGCGTTTAGTGACTGATTTCATTCTTCGAGTATAAATTGCAGGGACATTTAAGAGAAAATTTACGGTACTCCATGAACATATACATGTCTAGTTAGGGCGCTCAGGAGAGGGAACTCATGGCAGGGTGGTTGCAAGGTTGCAACTCGCCTTTGTTGTCGATACCCGCTGTGGCCGCGGGGCAACGTTGAATCAGGCACCATGCTTTATTGAAGCCGGTGCTTCGTGCGCACATCTCCCATGTGCTTCGTGGTCGTTAAACCTTGATAAATCTGTGGTCAGCTGTTGGGCGTCTGACTTGTTTATGACACATGTAAATGGGATTGTGGTATGATCACGGCGCGATCATCACATTCATTATGCACGTGTTTACTCTCTCCATATGTGTATTTTTGGGGTAACCTGGGGAAAGCCGAATAAAAAAAATTGCATTGCTAACCTTGATAAAATTGAAAGGAAAAGTGCAATTCTGGCCATCATTTTGAATTTCCAGTGAAAAACTGGAGGCCAACCTCTTCCCGAGAGTCAACAGGCCCAATTTTGCACTGTTTTCTGTGGGTTCATATTTGGTGATGTGCAACCTCAAGTCATGCCAAAATCAAGGGGAATGAACATCACGTGTTGGACTTGCATTACCTATGTATGTCAGCTAAGATGCTTGACAAACGTGCTGGACGTTATTCATGGTGGCAGCTCTTCTGTTGAATTCAACAATTGTTCCACGGTCACCCACTGTGAATCTCCATTGCTCTCTAACTTCATTCTGTATTAACTTTCCTTTGTGTTTCAAAAATCGCTTAATGCTGCCTTGTTGATGTCCAAACTGCCTTGTTGATGTCCAAACTGCCTTCACAGTCAGGAATGTAGATAATCCAGTTGCTGAAAAGTGCCTTTTTCCCTTGGCTTAGAAAGACAATTTACAGGTAAAATGTTTCATTCTGCCTGATTAAATTATGTTTGCGATTCCAGGAAGCATTAGTGTTTCGTGATGGTGAGTGGGTCTCGTTAGATGCTACCCAAGTCGTCGTGGGGGACATTGTGGAAGTGCGTGGTGGTGACAGGATACCAGCGGACATCAGGGTCTTTGAAGCAAGAAGTTTCAAGGTAAGGGAACCAGTGAATGCATTATTATTTCTCCAGGTTCGGCAGGCTTTTCATAGTCATGGAAAGTCCTGAAAAATCCTGGGGAAAAATGTTGTCCCCAAAATTCATGGAAAATGGGAAAAAATAGTTTTCCAAGGTTGAAAATTTGAAATGCTCTGGTTTTTCTGTTTTTTTCCCAGGTGGATAATTCCTCTTTAACTGGAGAGTCCGAGCCACAGAGCCGTTCTCCTGACTTTACCAACGAAAACCCTCTAGAGACCAGAAATATCGCTTTCTTTTCAACCAACGCTGTGGAAGGTGAGTCGGTTTCTTCATCCTCTTTGGATGAAGAATTTAATCTGGCATGGTGGACAGAGGAGAGTGTAGTTGTTGTTGGCACCGTTCGAAATTACAGAGGACTCTTTTTAGTCCAGTAGTGGTAAAGATGCTGCCTGTTGTTGACATTTCATGGTTGGTGCTTACCGGACTGGTACCCAGCATCCGACTGCCAAATGTTCGTCATCGAGGGGGAGGGGTGTGATTCCTCGGGGGTTTTTCTCGGGATTTCAGGATTTTTGACCCTAAATTTCTGTGTTCATTGATTTTGAGTAACTCAAATGTTGCTTCTTCCTTTTTGCACTTTACACACCAAACATGTGAAGATATATGCAAGCACAATTATTCAGGAGAAAACTGGTGTCTTGTGACATTTTAACACATTGACTGCCGACTACGAGCATATACCCATAACAGGTGTTCCAATTGTGGAGGCATGTGGCCTAGTGGTTTTGGTTTGTAGCTTCTGATCATTTGGTCGGGTTCGAATCCAGCTGGTGGCAGCATGTTGTGATCTTGGGCAAGTCAATTTACCCCTTTGAGCCTCTCTCCACCCAGGAGTAAATGGGTACCTGTGAGGGCAGACACGGTTGTTTAGCTGTTTACGCTGAAATGGCAGCACCGGGCTTGTATACTCCACAGGGAGCTGAGATGGTTTCAGGAATGTTCAGATGATGTGTGAGCCCAATGTGCAGGGATAACGATAATACAGCACCTTGGAATAGCTTGCTAGATAGATGGTGCTTTACAAGTGCTTGTTATTATTATTACTATGAGTAGACTCGTTGGAAATGAAAGGCTATTGCTATGTAAATTGGGTACAGTGCCATCACTGAGAGCCCAACAGATATGCTGCTAGCAGTGTTGATGGCATACACCTGTAAAATGCTCGGGTTCAAATGCACACCTGAAAAGTACCTATGAAATATGCGTGCATGTTTACAACACTTTGCAAATGGGAATGCTCTGTGAAATTATGCTCGGCAGTCAATGTGTTTAAAAGCCCAGAAGTTGGCAGCACTTGCTGTGTCTTTGTTCCGTTGGATGTTGTATTGACATTTCTTCATCCAACTCTGGGACGGTACCACTGTGTGGTACAGCTCCTTTTAACCCAGAAACACTGAGCAATGTGTTCTGTTTTCCAAGTCGATGAAGAACCAGAAACTGACCTGAAAACTCCCACTATCTCTCATTGGACAGGCACGGCCAGGGGCGTGGTCATCCAGTGTGGCGACCGCACTGTCATGGGCCGTATTGCCAACCTGGCCTCAGGACTGGACACGGGCAAGACCCCCATTGCCAAGGAACTGGAGCACTTCATTCATATCATCACTGCGGTGGCCGTCTTCCTTGGTGTGACCTTCTTCATTCTGTCCTTCCCTCTGGGCTACATCTTGCTGGAGGCCGTTGTCTTCCTAATTGGTATCATTGTGGCTAACGTGCCAGAGGGTCTGCTGGCTACTGTCACCGTAAGTCAATCACCAAAAGTGTCAAATCAATAAGCTGAGTTGTTTCGCATCCGTTTAAGCAAGTGGCTGTATTTCTTTTTTGATTCTTCCGAGCAAGTTCAGAGCAAAAAAGACTCTGAATCAATATTCTCAGTCTGGTGCTGGACACACAATCATTTTTCTAACACTACACACTTGTACGTGATGAACAAAACCTTTCCAAAGGGAGAGGGCTCATCAGAAGGTTCTGTCTCTGATGTGGTTTACATTTCATTCTTGGACACATCTGGGAAAGAAGCTGGAAATTAGCTTTCAAAAAAGGAGGATAGGCCGATGAGCATTCAACAAAGAAGTACCATTGCTAGGCAACCATAAACTAGGTACAGCTGGAAGGAAATAGGGAAGCTGGCACAAGACCGGTTCAGATGGACAACAGTCACGTATGGGCTGTGGTCCTTCTAGAACACCAATGTGGCTACGTCATGCACACAGTTATAGGTATGAAAGGCATTGGAGAGAGAACCAGCATGTGAACTCACAAACCGTGAACTCCATTCGCTTGTACAACACTTCCTGGTTTGAAATGATGTCACACTTGGGTACTCTATGGGCAGGTTGGGTTCTAATGATCCGGATTGATATGGAGCTAGTTGGGGAGTTTATGGCAAAGGCTAAACCCAGAAAAAAAGGCATTACTCGGGGGTGCGAGAATCCAGCTGTTAAACTGATTTCTGAGTTTTATTTTTGTGTAGATGTTGGCCCCAAATTCCAACTTTTTTGTACACCTGGTCTGCACAAAAGCACGGGAGCGTTTTACATTTCAGCTTTTTGCTAGCTGTTTTCAGCTTTAATTTTAAGTGGCCACTCACACCCCTGTTTACTCCAGTGGTACCATGCTTGATGTGTTCTTGACTTTTTAAGTCTGGGTGCTATTTTGGCAAGTCACTGTCTTACTGGTTGAACGGCCATGGAAGGCACACATGTCACATGTCGGATGTGAAATTTGTGAGGATTTGTCACTGTTTCAGGATTTATTCTGCTGGATTTAAACAATCCCTCTAAATATCCCTCAATCCTAAATTTTACCAGGAAGGTTTCTTTTACATATAATAGTATACTGAACACATGCAAAACAAACATTTGATATTTTAAGAGGCGTCTTTGAGATATGCACAATTGTATACCATAGTCCCTACCTAACTTTGTTGGGGCCTTTAAAACTAATGATGATTATTTCATGGATATTTCATTTTCCTTTAGTCTTTACCTTGTCTGACTCGGGCGTGAGTGTGGTGCCACCGTAATTAAATGACATTTCATTTTTTGAGCCCTGAACTGATTGAGCTGTTCTGTCCCCCTCCCCTCCAGGTGTGTCTGACGCTGACCGCCAAGCGTATGGCCAGTAAGAACTGTTTGGTCAAGAACCTGGAGGCCGTGGAGACCCTGGGCAGTACCTCCACCATCTGCTCGGACAAGACTGGCACCCTGACCCAGAACAGGATGACAGTGGCCCATATGTGGTTCGACAACACCATCGTGGAGGCTGACACCACCGAGGACCAGTCTGGTAGGGAATGCCAACACTTGAGGCAACTGTGTGCTGGCTACGGCTGAAATGCCCTCCTGGGATCATGAGAAATGCATGAAGCCGCTGGCCGATAAAGGGAAGGAATTTCACGACGGCCAGGGGAGCCTTCGATGCCCTTTTCATTGCTGCGATGCCTCTTGGAGAAAAGCAGTTTCCATGGCCAGCTTTGCTATGTCCTTTGTCTGACTGCAGTGCCCTTTTCATGAAAATTATGAATTTCAACCACAATGCGCCTTAACTAGAGGCTGTGAAATTACCAGAGATTCGAGAAGTTGCCTCAATTATGCCAACCCCCGCATTTGAAAATAGTTGCACGTCGTAATCCAGAGGGAGTAACGTCAGCCACCTGTACGTGTGCGACACGAGCGCAGCATGTGGGTGCTGTACTCGCTTGGTGGATATAGTTCAACGAACAGACGCTGTGTATTTTACACTGCTTTTCTTACGTAATTTGTTCATCGGTTTTGTAAATCAGCTGTCGATAATACATAATCGTCGGTCCATAGAGCACTGTGATTTGGTCAGCAATGCCTCGCAAGGATTGTGTAAAATGATCCAGGAAACTGGAAGTCGCAATTTCTTGGTTGGCTGCTGGAATCTGTAACTCTTCAGAGGCCTAGCGTGTTTTTGTTCTCTGGCGGTTGGGCCCCATACTTATCCTATTGGCCTTAGAGCCCTCATCACAAGCCACGGTGCCCTAAGATGAATGGGTTCTCTCAGGCCAAAGTGGGCTTGCCCCCCCCCCATGACGAAATTCCTTCTCTGGCTTTATGACCCATTCATGGCCCTTTTGTTCCTTTTCCCCACAAAACAACATTAATTTCCACAATTCAGAGCCAACACTTGGCGTCTTTCCGTATGGTTTGTGCTGAAGATCCCCGTGAGTTGACTAGACACCAAACTTGAGATGCCAAGTATGCTTTACACTTATTCTGGTCCAGGTTGTTTGGTGGGATTTGGTTGTAAGCATAAAGTCTCCCTAGCATCACTTTTCAGCGCCATAACTCTTAAAAAGAGTTTGAGAAAAGGTTAGAAATAGCATTTCAGAAATAAACAGGTGGCTTTGGAAACCCTTAAAGTGCTGAGGATGAATGATTGTTTGCTCTGCAGGTGATACCCTGGACAAAAGCGCTCCAAGCTGGAAGGCTCTTTCCCGTATTGCTTGCCTGTGCAACAGGTCCGAGTTCAAGGCAGGTCAAGATGAAGTCCCTATTCTGAAGAGGTGAGTGCAAGATTATAAAAAGAAATCCACTGATCTCTGTAAAAATATCTGGAGAGATCGTTAGCGGCAGATAAGGTTGAAGTCGCTCTCCTTCATTTAACAATTTCAGGAACTAAAGGTTTGTGAAGTTCTCTTCCCACATTCTAATGGATGGATTGGTTACGAGGGCTGAGCTTTAATTGTCTGTACAAGCTCGGAACGGCCAACAGGTTATCCAGATTTTTTGGCGTGGCTACCAGTGGGGAAAACACCAGATAATAACACATGCACCACTAAATGAAAATTCAACTGTCAGTCGCGTTTCTGAGTTTTCCTAACCCTCATCCCCACTTCCTTGTATTCCGTTTATAGATTTATACATCACAGGGAATTTGGAATTTAAAGCAAGGATTGTCCTTGATCAGTGTTAAGTTGACAAGCACAAATCATGCAACCCACTTGATCTCTATTGGCAGACTTGCACGAGGAGGCCATTTTGCTTAAACAAAGAAACATGCAGTGGTGAAAAACTCATGTGTCTCTGCCGCGGCTGAGTTTCCACCAGCAGTTAGTTCATACCGTGCTTTCCATCCTCAAGGAGATTGTCCAGATGTGTGCACTTGATGTTAGCGCACTCTCCAGTTATATCGGTGCATGATCAAACTTGTGCTGTGACCTGTGCACGAAGCCCCATCGGGGGATCTCTCTATGAGTGGTCAGTGGTGTAATTCTGACATCATTCGTCCCTCCAGGGAGACCACAGGTGATGCGTCCGAGTCGGCCTTGGTGAAGTGCGTAGAGTTGGCCATGGGCAGTGTGGCGGATTTCCGTAACCGCAACAAGAAGCTGGCCGAGATCCCTTTCAACTCCACCAACAAATACCAGGTAAAGTAGGAAAAAAAACCCTGAGCTGTCATTGAACATGGTACGCAACGCATCCCATCCCAACCCGACCCGACCGAAGCAAACCATGGTACCGGTAGGATTCAGTGAATCACACTGAAGTGGCTGTGCAGTATTGGCTTGCTTTAATTTTTGGAGTAAATGAATGTTTTGGCACAGAACTGCCGCATTCGAAACAAAAAGGGGGGCATGACTTACCGATCAAGTAAACTAAGAATCCATTTAGTTTATTGAAACTTGCCAGTCAAGCCTCACTTTGAATTACCCAAGCAGCAATGTCAGTATTGGGATTGTTGCTGGCTTCTGAGAAGCTGTGGCGAACTGTCTCCTGAGGAACATGAATACCATAACCTGTAGCTCCTACATCAGTGTCTCATCGGAGCCTTGGGCCCCTAAACAGAGAGAGAGAAAGTGAAATCTAGGCTTGGTCATTCCCACTGATGTTAGGTTTCGGTGCACGAGTGCGAAGAGGACAGCCGCTATCTCTTGGTCATGAAGGGTGCCCCTGAACGCATCTTGGACCGTTGCACCACCATCATGATCAAAGGGGAGGAGCAGCCTTTGGGAGAGGACATGAAGGTGGCCTTCAACAATGCCTACCTGGAGCTGGGCGGTCTCGGCGAACGTGTGCTCGGTGAGATTGGAGTTATCAGTCAGATAGGATGGTCCTGGTTTGTGGCTGCAGTTCCAAATGAGTTCCACTGCAGCTGGGGAAAGCAGTGTTTGAAATTAGGCCCAAAAAGCAGTCAATGTTTGCCAGCACCATCAGTTTCGGTCTGCCATTATAAGTATTTCGGGAGAAATACTCCCACTCTCACAAATACCACACGCCCAGAAACCAGATTGACAAAGCACCAAGACTTGCATTTTATTGACCCTTACATTTCAGGCATTTTCTATGATAACGGTTTCTGTCCGTCATTGTCAGACTAATACCATGAACTGTCGGGAAATGGCCGACCGTAATTTTGCACCCGGGGAAGAACGTGGAAAAGTCAAGGAATTTTATTTCCAATTTCGACACTTTGAAACAAGTTGGGAAAATGCTTCAATATGACCAAAGCAATGACCACGTCATAGAAGTTTGTGAGGAAGTTCTGTTTCTTCAAGCATTCCTGAATTAAGCATGAAGATCCTTTTTTCATACCTGCCAAATGTGACACATTTTTATGAGGTTTTTTACTGGTCCGAGTTTTGGTAACTTCACTTTGGTAATTTGGTCGTAGGGAAAAAGTCACTTGGCATTCATCTATTCCAAAGGTGTCAGTATCCAAAGAAGGATTTCAAGAGCAGTAACAATCTGGATGACATTCTTCACCTCTTCCCTCCCCAGGATTCTGTCATTACTTCCTGCCAGAGAAGGAGTTCCCACGAGGCTTCCAGTTTGACGCCGACGATACCAACTTCCCCCTGGAGGGCCTGTGCTTCGTGGGGCTCATGTCCATGATTGACCCACCGCGGGCCGCTGTGCCGGACGCTGTGGGCAAGTGCCGCAGTGCTGGAATCAAGGTACAGACTTTCTCCTGCCAATTGACGGCTTTGATTTTGACCAGTGATCCCGTTTGTTGATCCAAGAGTGCATGCCTAGAATGAAGTTCGTCTTGGGTCATCCGGGGTCAGCGATATGGGCGTGCGAGGCTTTCCCCCTATTAGCACAGCCGTACGCAGACTCGCACATGTGTTGTGATCTTGAACAACCTTGCCATTTTGAAATGCAAAACATTTTGAATGCATCCAGTCACCCTTTTCACCATTTATGGTGTATCTTTTCGATTGCTGATCTTTTCTTACCCCCCCCATAATTTTCCTCGCTGGGAAAATGTTCTTTGACCCCTCCCTCTTAAAAAAAATCTCCTGAGGGTGTCAATGTGCTTGGTCATGTATGTCACATTTTAAATTGCTCCAAGCAAATGGCGCTGCAAGCAGTGACTCCAGCAGTACATGTGCCTCGGTTCGTTTTGTCTCCCTTTGACCCCAGGTCATCATGGTTACCGGTGACCATCCAATCACGGCCAAGGCCATTGCCAAGGGTGTGGGCATCATCTCCGAGGGCAACGAAACAGTGGAGGACATCGCTGAGCGCCTTGGGATCGACGTCTCCCAAGTCAACAAAGAGTATGTCCATATGTCAGTCCTTTCACAGCCAATGTCAGGGTTTTTACGTTCACAGGAAGTCCGTGGAAAAAGTAAGGTGTCCTGAAATAACTTGTCGGGGGGAAAAAAGTGATGGAAAAGTCTTGGTTTTTGATTGGCCGCTTTTGATTAATTATTCACGTAGCAAAGTGTGTGAAGTTGGACGGTTCACACACAAGGCAGGAAGAGCTTTAGCAGCGCCCTGCAAGGAAGTGTCACCATGCAACCATGCCGTGTGTCCTGGGCAGCGAGCCCACCTGCAGTTCTGGTCACAGTGGTTTGGTGCCCCACAACACAGCACAGTCCTAGAAGAAACCGTTGGACTCTTTATTTTGTAACCACGTGGAATTCCCCTCTCTTGGCTTTGTCATGGGGCCCTCAGAGCAGTTGTTAGCCCCGCTCTGTCCCATTGCATTGAGCGCTGTGTACTAACTGCTGCGCGATAGGCTGTGAGACAAAGAATTTACCTAGTGATTCAGTGAGTCATGTTTTGCCCAGCGATACACTGGGCAGGAGCAGCATTCTTGGAGGGGCAAGGCAATTTCTCGTTGGCAGAGGGCCCTCGTCTTGGACAATTAAGGTGTCTGTTGGAACATATCAGTGAACATCTGGGCAATGACCAAGGGCATACGATGACTGTTAAACAATGCTGTCTGCACATGTTTGCCGATATGGCAACAAGGCTTTACTGTCCATCGTGGTGTTTATTTCTAAGCTGATATAAGATGTAATAGTCCTAGAAATAAATGTATAACGATGTGTCCAGTGTTATATAATGTTGACGCAAACTATGACAGGTTGACTGGCTTGGTGGCCAGTGAAGTTGTCATTTCTGACCCAACCTTTATTTTGGGGTTGCAGCGATGCCAAGGCAA